CCCCAAAACCCCAAAACCCCAAAACCCCAAAACCCCAATGCAGTAATATTATAATATTTATCAGATAATAATAGGACATGAAGTTTAACCTCCTTATAGTGTAAGGAAATTTTGACCTTTTAAGCCAGTTTTGGGACCTATGGCTTATTGCTGAAGCAGAAATTTACTCTGGACCTGCTAGTAGTTGGAGTAGTTTTTTAGAACATTGTTTGAATTTTTTTTTAATTTTGTAAAAATTTACTCAAGAGGATGTTCATTATCTATAGACTGCTGATAAGCTTGGCCATCACCTCATATGCAAGGCCAGTTTTCTTGGAGCAAGAGACTCATAAGAGAAAAGAGCTTTCAAGCACAGATTTTAGAGAAATCGTCGAAGGTTTCTTCCAGGGTGTCAAACTTGATCAATATACTACAATCTCAGACGAGTGTGTTGATGGATCAGTCGGCTTTACCTCTGAAATGCAAGTAGCTTTGGACAAATATGGATCAGGCCAATTCTATAATGGAACTGATGAGCTTACTCAAGCCCTTGGGCTTCTTTCTCCACTTTCAAGACACTGTGCTGATTCTATTGAGGACCTTATTAAGATTAACATTGCATACAAGAAAAAATTCAAAAACTTTGATGATTTCCTTAACAAAATCTCCTCAAATGTTCTCTGGAACATGAAGCACATTAAGAAAGACTTTGGTTTAATTCTCTCAAATCTCATGGTTGGTGCTAATTACACTGAAATTGCTTACTTAACTGGAGATATTGTTGATAAAACATTTGTTCTTGAGAAATCTGAAATGCCTTTTGATGCTGATTTACTCATTACTCCTTATGAATCTCCTTTAAGATATATCGATACTGATCCTTTGGCTAAGGATCCTCTTTCAAAGCCACTCTGGACTTACCTTGAAGGAACTTTCAAGTTCCTTCATGGATCCAGGCTTGCCTCAAGAGAGAGCATTCTTGACTGCCAAGAAGGAGCTGTAAACCTCATTCATTATACCCAAAAGGCTAATGAACTAAGCCAGAAGAGCAATAAGCAGAAGGAAGCCACTTTTATCTTCATTGATGGCCTAGCTTTCTCCAACCAGGCCTTTACAGGATGTGTAGACACTCTTCAAGAGTCAGGAAAGACTTTAGGTCACTTCAGCTTTAAAAGAATTCCATCTAATTTCAAGAAGAACTTTGGAAGGATTCTCTCAGCTGGAGCAGCTCTTTATGCAGAGATTTTCTTCGAGGATTGGCTAAGCCTCTCTAAAGTTGTCGGAGACTTGATGTACAGAATCGTGTTCTATGGAGCAAACTAATCTGTCTTATGATAAGGATTGTTGACACAGTTTTTTCTTTTACTTCAGTTCAATTAATACTATGGAAAAAGGGGTTTTGGGGTTTTGGGGTTTTGGGGTTTTGGGGTTGGGGGGTTTTGGGG